TTCCTAGTAGTAAGGCCAGGAGCCCCTAGTAGCATCCTTGCTCCTAGCAAAAATGAGACGTTTTGGACGTATTTTGGCCCAGCCTGCACCCATTGGATGCTGTTGTTGACATCACCCGAATTCACCACCGGCGTCCACATGTCCTTTCCTGAGCTGCTCAGCTAAGACACATGACACGGTGGTACAGGGGACACCTAACTCCAATGAATTTGCAGAAACCTCCGAGAGGAGCTTGTGGAACTCCAGGTCCAGGTCAGGACACCATTCAGGCTTGGGAGATTTTGGTCTTCGCACTGCAGCAAAGTGGCCCAACTGTGGCACGACAGAGTTCTTACCCTTGCCTTTGTGCAGCGCACAAAGAAGAACACTGCTTGGATCGCCATTGCCAAAACACGCGATTCCACAACCACAACTTTTGTCAGAATAGGTTGTCTGGTGTTTTGGTACACACCTGTGAAGGCCGAAGTGTTTCAACAACATGAACTGGGGCCTTTGGGGCACAGCTCCGCCCAATCCGCCAGCTGCATGCCCTTCGAGTCGCAAAGCAGGGCCGCCTCAAGAGGAAGCTTAAAGAGTTGGGCTGCTCTGCTGTTAAACCTTGACCTGCCTTTAGGCCGGGTCACAGTCCTAGTTACAAGGCAATTTGGATTGATTAATGACACCGTGAGTGAGATCTTCTGTCAGTACTATCTGGTTTAATGATGCGGCTACTAACCTAACTTGTCTCTGTGCATCGACTCGCTCAAAACAGAGACATCACAGCTCGGCACCTCAGACCATGATCCATTCCAGTGCTGATTGGTCAGCTTCAGCTCTTGCAAGTTTACCGGCAAATCATTCTCACAGCCTGAGATAGCTTGTGGGAATTAAAAGACCACATCTTACGAGAGTGTGACAGAGCACCCCAACAGATTCCGATACGTATGAACCCACAACTATAGCAAGCCAAATACCAGGGTCTGAATCGCGCAGCCCCACCCAGGTGGAGATCTTCCTTCTGGAAGGAAAAAACATAAAATCTGTGGATGACTTTGTCCAGAGAGCAGTAGATGAAGCCGTTGAAGCTCTTCACCTCAATAGCTGAATTTAATCTAACTTAGCATTGAAGGGATTTCTGACTAAAACACCGCGTTTGGGCTGCTGTCCTGGCAATCAGAATATATAAGGTGAAAATGTTCTCACCTTTAGTGCTTTTGGGTACGCATACCTCAGGAACTCTGACGTGGGCGACCAAGGGGCCTTTCCCCAGCCTTGGAAGTTCTTCACTTGCCCATGGCAGTCACTGGAGATGAGGCAGCAAAGGTCGCCCTTCTCCCTCGTTCCAACCTGCTCGACCAATCGCTAGGCCATCATCGACCCCTAGAAATGTTAAGCGCGAAACCAATCTCGGTCTGACAAGGATTTCAGCAAAGAATGAGTTTCAAGCTTTGAAGACAAATCTGTTGGAAAGTAAAGAGGACACAAGCTACGTAAACGAGATGGGCTAAGAAATACGAGCAATACAAGAGAATAAGTGATGCCCTGCCATGCCCTGCCTGCACCCACTCCACTGGATTGTTGGAATCTTCTGCGTTTCGAACAGGAGTCCACATCTCGTACTTCCTAGAGAGAACGCATCGAAAGATGTCAAACGATTTCATGTTCGGTTGGACATGCTTTCGACGTTCTGTTCTGTCTGTATTGTCTGGCAAAGTAAGCATAAAACATATAAAAACAATGGCTCTCCAATACCTTGGCTTGGAAAGGAAATGGTTCCCAGTTTGCTATCAACCTTTGTGGGCCGGTGCTGGACCTTCGTATCCCCCACAAGCAAGGGTCCTTCTTGAAGCAAGTCCCTCTGAGCCCTTAGGTCTGAAACTAAAGACCAAGCCGAATAGTTGGGCGGCTTGTAGGCTTGCTTGGGCTTGTCGTAGGTCGGTCTTCATTCTAGCTTGGAGGCCATCGCTAGTAGGAGCAAGGACGCTACTAGGAGCAAAGGGCATCTCTACTAGGAGCAAGGACACTAGTAGTGACATGTAGTGACAAGTGCCTTACTAGTAGTAACAGGTGCCACGCTAGTAGTAACAAGGTCACTAGTAGTGACGACACTAGTTGTGCTTTTCGGTTTTGGCCCCACGGAATCGCGCGGCGTCGAGGGGCTTTTGGCCCCCTGGGATCGCTGGTGCATGAGATCGCCCCTTCGGGCACACCTGGTGGCAGAGCGCAATATGGTAGCCCGCTTTGCCCTCCTACTTGATTAAGTAGAGACTGCCTACTTGATTAAGTACTGGAGTCAGCTACTAGCAACAGGAAGCTCCTAGTAACTAGTAACTGGACTCAGGATAGCTCACACTTCTTCAAGGAAGCTCCCCCCGCCTGAGGGCCGGAGGGAGCTTCCTTGAAGAAGTGCTCACACTAATGACACGAATGATGTGTTTCCTAGATATATAAAATAGCAATGGCCTCCAACCTACTAGTGATGGCTCCTAGATGTTTAAGGAAACTTAACACTTTGGGATTCTTGGTTTGCACGGTTTCGGATGCTTGGGATGACTGTCCTCGACAATACTAAGTTCTACCTGTGCAAGTGTTCAAACGATTTTTTGAGACACACCGACAGCTGTTTTCCATTTTTCTCCTTGTCCAACTGAAGTTGACATACCAGGTTACCAGACTCTAAAGAATGACAGTGGCACCGAACAAAGAAATGTTACCAACAAAGTGCACAGGGATGTTCCAAACCATTCCGGCACGTTGCAACTGTTGACAAAATGTGTCTCCCCAGGCTTGGAACATCCCTGTTTTGTATGCAGTATAAGTATTAGTTTGGAAAAGCTGTCAGTTGTAGACTTACGTGCCTTTTTGTAGTCGCAGAGCTGCTTTCCCTGCCCAGAGTGGGAGGGGGACTGTGAGCTATGCAGGCTGGCTTGCTGGTGAGATGTTGGCAAAGCCACTTCGAACAAGCGATCAGATTCATTGAAGTGTGAAAAGACATGAAAAGAAGAAAAGGTATGACTTGGTGCTTGTGATGCCTTGGCACGGCAATGCTCATCCGCTTTGTTCCATGTGCCGTCAGGCCAAGTATCAGCGGTCATTGGAATCTCCTCCGCTGAAGAGAATCCATCAGGGTCCTAGCATCTCGCCAGGATACTCTGGAGAACATGTACAAACTCGGCCAGTTGTTGCAAGAAGGCCACAAGGAAAGCTAGGAATTCTAGAAAGGTCCTGCATTCAATGTTTGTGGCAAACCACAGTGCGATCATCCAGCTAATCGAAACAGAAATACTTCTGTTCAATCGGGCAAATCAAGGCCTCTTCTAGATGGAGCTTCCCATCCATCTGGGAATCCTGAAGAAGCAGGTCAGCACGTTCGATCTATCCAACTTTGTTAGCAAATTACTGTAAACGCTGAGCCAGCACACAACTCTTGGCAACTCGAATTGTCAAGTCAGTTTCGAAGTTGCAAACAAATCCTCTGCTCAATACTTTCGAGCAGAACCACAGGCCTTTCGCGACTGCACCCGCACGAGTCCACGCACTTCTCCTTTGGGGATTGCAAAGAGTGAATCATCTGGGCACAAGTCGACGCTACTTTACTGCTCAGTCAAGACTGCCTCTGGTTTCACAAAAAATGCACTGATATGAAGTTCTCAGTCACATCCATGCAAGCTTTCTCCCTGTCCGTCACTGCCAACTGCGACATCCACACTCGCAGCTTGTCGGAAAGCGAAGCAAAGCAAGCACAAGGACCTGGAGTTGCAGCAACTCCGAAACTTGCCCGGCCGACGTACAATTTGCCCCAAAAAGAGGCCCCCAAGTCTTTTTCAGCCGAGCTACAACATGCGCGTATGGATACATTTGACAATCTGAGCCGCCTTTTGGCCAAAGTGGCTACGGTTTTGGACAGCTGCCACCCTTAGCATGGAGATCCATTTCTCGCGGAGATTCTCACAGACCGCCAGCCATTCGTCTACCACATGCGGCAAATGTTCTGCGTCATGGTACATCAATCTTCCAGGAGAGTGCATGCCGAAGCAGAACAAAAGCTCCTCTATATCAGAACTTCCTTTTCGGCCAAACATGGTGGTGGTTGGTACTTTGACCAAGCAGTCAATCATGAATCAAGACTGAAATCAAAACAGCAGGTGCTTGCTGAAGCTTCACCACTGAAACGCGGAGAAAGTATACATTCACCACTGGTAATCTTGTTCCTTGTAGACTTCATCATACACCTCAGGCTCTTTGGGCTGCGGCACTGGCAAGTCTCCTGGGAGGCGCTGAGAAACTTCCAACCGGGTCTTGGCCCGGGTCCCATGTCTTTCACTGAAGAACTTTTTGTGTGTCTGTGACTCAATGGATTCACCGGTTGCAACGTTTGCACATCAAGCCATGTTTTATTGAAGTTCTGCCGAATGGCTGGGAAGCAGGGAAGCTGAATTGAAACGTGCTTATTCATCGACTTCTGCCTGAATTGTATCACATCTGAGGGAACCAAGCCAATCTGGCCTCATGCCCATGCAGTTTAGGGTTATCTATCTTAAGGATTCGTACTGGACGTAGGAGAATGCAGAACCCACAGACTTTTCCAAGCATAAATCTTATTGCCCTAACCATCTGGTTTAGAAATGTTCGCAAGTAGGGCGAAGAATGACTGTCCTGGTGGCACTTTCTCAGCATAGCAGTTTGGTTCCACCTCAGGCAAAGAGACCCCCCAAGATTCAGATACGTTCCCGAGGCGTCCCTCAGGAATATCACAACACGATGGAAGGGTCTTCGTTGGGCAATGCCTTCCAAAGTGTTCATTGCCCCCCTGCTAAGCACAAAAAACAATTCAAACGAATCCCTGTGACTACAAGGGGCACACACACACACACGCCTCCCCGAGGGGAGGCGTAAAGCTAAGGTGAGGGCCAATGTGCACGTGTGCGCGCACAAGACAAAAGAATGAAGACATGACAGGAGGACGAGACGGGACAAAGGTGCGTGTGGTTGAAATGAAAGGGGAACCAAGTGCACAGGGACACCCGATGAAGCCCACCTCATTGTAAAGACCTGGGCGACCTAAAACCTGTGTTTAAAGGTATGTAGAAGTGCACGTACACACTGAGGCCGGGACCAATGTGCACGCAAACGAAGAAAAGGATGAGATGAACAGACATGAAGACAGGAGGACATGAAAGAAAAGAGGAAACAAAAGTGTGTGAAGGGGAAGGGATGAAAGGGGAACCAAATGGAGGGGACGAGAACCGATGAAACCAAACCTCATTAGAAGCACCTAGGGACCTGCCTCGTTTGAGTGTAAGCGCTGTGTGTGCACCTGAGGTTGGGACAGGTTCCAATGAACCTTGAACAAACTTCGGTCGCTGCGACCACGTACGCCGTGCCAATATGGCTGGCTGCTTTGACCGCTGCGGTCACGTAAAGGCATGAGCCAACTTGGAATTCCAAATTTTTCATTTTCATTTCCGGCCGTCTGTAGGCAGAAGCCTATGGCGAAAAGCCGTCCGTAGACAAAAGCTCAATTAGAGCCGCACACCCAAATCACGTCAACGTGCCTAAAACACGGAGCGACAAACTGTGCACAGCAACGGGCACCCCATCACGCCACACATTCGGTAGCGGAGGTAAGTGCCCTGAATGCATTGGATCCACGGCGGTCGTGGGACCCATATAGGCTGCCCTCTCAGGAGAAGCATCCTGTAGCTCACGAAGTCGGTGTGAACGTGTACCGCAAGATCATGAACATGTAGGAGACGCAACCCATCGACCCAACCACTTATCGCGTGGCGCCACCACTCGAGGTCCTCCCCCCTGCAAGTCAACATGCATGCACCAAAGGAAAAAAGTTCCCAGCCATTCTCCCTCGGGATAGTCAGCCCAAGTGTGCTGCATGTCTTCCAGAGTAAGACGCTCAGAGCATTGGTGAGCAAGAGTCTGGAAAAGAGCTTCCTTACTGTCCTCATCAACCGCAAAGGAAACCCCTTTCAACAGCAGATCGTGTCTAAGCTGCATAAACTCCTGCTCGACATACTTGAGGTCATTCTCATCCGCTCCCAGGACGTGCGGTCCAGCAAGCGCAACGGCATCCTTCCTCGTGGTTGTGGGAGAGCCACAAAGTTGTCCGCCGGGAGGTCGGTCCGCTCAGCTTCGAAAGGAGCAAACAAGCGAACCCATGCCCCACACCGATTTGGACGGCCCTGCCTGGAAACATAGCGCAGGTGTAGTTGCAACCTGTTGACCATCCAATAACGGCGAAGGCAAACAGGGCACGTTGCCCCGTGGATGCGACCATGTTCAGCATTGCGCCAAGCATGTTTCTGGGTGCGGTGCAACCTGAGAGCCCGGCTATTCCCAAAAAGCATCCCACGTTCACATCGAGATTGCGCTTGATAAAGGAGATCCAAAAGAGTGTCCTCCTCTCCCCCTCGAACCAAGGCACGGCCACACAAGCGAGGCAAAAGCATGACATGTTTCAGGCCCGCCTGCTTCACAATTCGCTTCCACCCCGGTCGACCCCTGGCCCAGTGAGGTCGGAGCGTCTCAAGGTTGGTGCCCCATGTGCTCAGATCCATAGCAGATGCCAGCCACTGTAGATCTTCATCAAGACCGGTGCGCCATCCATCTGAAAGCTCAGCTGCCTCACATTGGAGTTCCTGCAGTACAAATTGCGGACCATGCTGCGCCAGCCGAGCTGCAAGAAGAAGGCGACGCTGAGCGAGCCTAACTCTAACTGGCACACAGCCAGCCCTGAGCAGGATCTCCATATCTGTCATGACTTTGTTCCCCTCCACCTTATTCTGCCGGAGTGTGCGGCGCAGCATGTTGCCTTGACATACTTGAAGGCGTCGCATGTCTTGTGCACGAAGGAGAGGCCACGAGCCACACCCGTAGTATAGCTTTGTGAAGACCAAAGCCTCAAGGAGGAACAGCCGTGTCGCTTCCTTCAAAGCAGAGTTGGTGAAGATCTGTCGGGACATAGATCGGAAGGCCGTCCATGCCTGTCCAACCCTCCGATGTATCTCAGGCCCCATCCGACCCCCTGCTGAAAGGGTAGTGCCCAAATGTTTGTACTGAGCCCCCAGCATCAAAGCCCGTTGACCAGGGCCCAAACGAAAGCTGTCAAGCTCCAAACCAGGCTGAAGTCGAAGTTGTTCTCGATGTTGCTTTGCACCCACTCCGGCTGGTGTCAACAAAGCTTGACTCTTTCCTTTGGACATGTTGAGGGTCATCCCTCTCTGTTCAAAAGCGAGCTCCACTTCAAGAAAGATGTTCCCAACCTCTCGTAGTAGCTCTTCATGGGAGGAAGCTAAAAACGGCACCGCCAAGTCATCCGCCCAGACAATCTGTGCCCCAATGGTATCACACTGTTGTCTCATCTGGTGCTGCTGCGACCGAGCGCTGATGGTTTTCTCCAAGTCAGCAACCGCTGGACCCATAAGGCAATGAAACACGGCATCAGCCAATGGGCTACCAGGCCTCGTACCTCGAGTAGTACGGACCGCCTCACCATTCAAAGTTGCCCAAGTGCGGCTATGTAGTTCTCGAAGAAGTTTCGTCATCACGCAGTCAGGAAGAATTCCTGGTGCACTCACAAGCTTCTCCACGATCTCCTGTTCAAAGCCTTCTCGGAGCAAAGTTTCCCAAAGAATGCACCTATCTTTTGCATCTCCAAGCTTCGGGCCTAAGACGATTTCCCTCACAACCGAATGAAAGGCCGCTCGCAAGTCAACAAAAATGACCGCAGCAGGAACTCCTCAATGATAAGCTCGTCTCATGAAGGTCTGGACATACAAACCCAGCTGTCCGGGAGGCCGATCGCTTGCCGCCCAAGCCATAACTTGAGGACGAAGAAGTGCATGCACAAGCCGAACAAAGACACCTAAAAGCATAATGCCTCGATACTGCTCGGCAGACACAGGCATAGGGACCTTTGGCAGCATATGTAGAACCCCACCTTTCCACTGAATGGGCTCCTGTGCCGTCAGAAGCATCTTCAAGACCAAGTCAAAGACCCAAGGCGCCAAGGAATCAGCTCCAGCATGAATCCATTCAGAGGGCAAACCATCAGGCCCAGAGGCCTTTCCAGGCCTTGTGCAGCGAAGCGAGTTCTCCACTTGCACCAAACTAGGAATCTCTTCCAACTTGCACATCATCAGATTGGAAGCGGGCTGGGTGTCCTCTGTGAGCAGCTCCTGATATAGAGTCTCCAGCCGCTCTTGAGCACCTGCCTCCAGTTTCTCGAGATGGGGTCGCCACTGGTCTCGCAAAGACTCCTGCTGGACAGCAGGACGAGCTTGCTGGCGTGCTCGACTCTTCGGCAGATGTCTCTTCACCAAGGTCCAAAGCTCTTTGACCTTAGCAGGCTGATCACAAGCTTTCCATTCATCTTTCAACGCGTCAAAGAAAGCACGGGCATCTTGTCGTTGAAGGGTAGTAGCCTGGTCGCGCACCTGCTTGAATGCCAAGTACAGTGAGACCCACGCGCGAGCCCAGTACCAGTCAATGCGGGTGAGAATCTGCAAGTCCAGACGACCTCCTTGACAGTGAGTTCGCCATGCAAGAAAAAAGGCTTGAAGCCCCAGAAGTCTTCGGCCATGCTGAAGATGTAGTAGGTGACCACGTAGCCACGCCTTGTGCTTGATGGCAGCACGTGTCTCCTTCGAGAAGTGTGGCTTCCTGTGGAAAGGTTGCCTCCTAGGGACAACTCGATGAACCCCAACAGAGAACCTGTTTGCCAGTTCATAAGCATGTTGATGCACATCAAGCTTCCAATCAATGGGAGGCATATACCCAGTAGCCCATTCCATTTGTGTACGTGCTTCAGCATCTGTGCCAACAGGCTGCAGAGGCATAGGTCGTCGCACCTGTACACAAGCCCCACTGCCTGGCAGGTGACAATCAAACTCCACACATACCGCATGATGATCATGTAGATGCCCATGTGCTTGGAGCTGAAAATCCGTCCAGGAATGCATGGAAGTGAAATGCCATCGAGCAGGCACAGCAATGAAATCGATCCTGCTCTGTGCGCCGGTGGGGTGTGTCCAAGTGTGCCCTGGACCCACATGAAACTCAGAAAAGGTCGAGGGCATGCACAGATGCTTGGCAAGCAGAAATTCATGGAAACACGCTTCGGCCTAGGCCACCTAAGCCCGCTCTGGGCACTTACAGTACATCTCCAGGCAGGGGAGATAACGACAAACCCCCGTTCGACGGGTCTACGGGAGGCACTCTGCGGGCTCATCCCGGGTTGGCACTAGGCCAAACACACTTATGGATATGCATACTGAACTGATAGCGGTGCCACACGCCGGCCTAGGGTTCCATTTCCTAAGAGTGCCAGTAGGAAGCCATCGAATCCTGGAGGTCTTAAAAGGAAAGGAGGCCCAAAGCACAAGGTCGAGGTCGGCGATCAGGTCGAAGTGACGGCGTTCCGTGCGTGACTGCCGCAAACTTTAAAAATTGTTGCAGGTACGTTCCCGAGGCGTCCCTCAGGAATATCACAACACGATGGAAGGGTCTTCGTTGGGCAATGCCTTCCAAAGTGTTCATTGCCCCCCCTGCTAAGCACAAAAAAAAATTCAAGCGAATCCCTGTGACTACAAGGGGCACACACACACGAAAGCTAAGAAGTCTTCAAGAAGGTCACCTGCTTTCCAAAGGATGTTGGCATGCAAAATCACAACTTCCCCACAAGAATTACAAAATGATTCCCCTTACTACAGGAGAAGCTTTGGGCGCCTCCGTCAGTGCTTCAAGTGCCAAAGAAAAAGGTTGAGCCGTTGATGTAGGGCGCTTCGTCATTCAACCCGCAGCCAAGACGCCCGAAGCTCCTTGAGCTTGTTGCGCCCAATGACACAGTGGCTGACGCAAGTATCATAGCCTCAGCTCATCCCAGCAGGTAGCAAGCAGCAAGTAGCCTGGGTGGGGGAGAAAGCATTATCAATCATATGAGTGATACAAAGTGAAGTTTTTGGAGGAAGGTGAAAACTCTCAGTACAGGCCAGGATGCATGTCTGCTCTCCAACAAAGTGCTCTTTGCACTTGTCCTTCGGGTCAACGCGAATCGAACAAGAAAAAGAAGAGAAGAAGACGAAGAGGAAGAAGACGAAGAGGAAGAGGAAGAGGAAAAGAGAAAGAAGAGAAAGAAGAGGAAGAAGAGGAAGAAGAGGAAGAAGAAGAGGAAGAAGAAGAGGAAGAAGAAGAGGAGGAAGAAGAAGGAGAAAAAGAGGGGACGAAGAGGAGGAAGAAGAAAAGGAAGAAAAAGAAGAAGAACAAGAACAAGAAGAGGAAGAAGAAGAAAAAGAAGAGGAAGAAGAATAAGAGGAGAAGAAGAAGAGGAAGCAGAAGAAGGAAGAAGAGGAAGAAAAATAGGAACAATAATTACCGTATATATCCCAGCTGACAACCCCAACAGCAGACCATCAGCCGAAAGGTCATGGAGTCATGCATTCAAGCGCATGCCTTTCCACCAAGAAACTGGCGTTTGCCCAATCAACAATTCCACACTTGAGTCCAAGACTCAAGAATGTTATCACACTTGATTGTCATGTTGTCATGTCATTAACCCATGCCCAGCTACCCCTTTACCCTGCAAATGCTGATTGTTCAACGCACACCAGACAGAGGCCACTCCTCACATGCTTCATAACCTTCCATCTCACAAGCACGGGGCTCCCCCAAAGGCAAAGGCTTTTTGCACGCCACGAAGTGCCGGTCGGCCTCCAGGTGGGTTGTATTTGGGAAACACAACAACAACTCCGCTGAAAGGGAGCTTTAAAAAGGACCGCCTATACCCTTCTCATACTGGTCCCAATGTCCAAATGACGAACGTCAAGCTCAATGGAGACAGATTGTAAAACGGTGGCCTCTAGTCTAACATTCTAACAAGTGGCGGCATCCTCCATACAGAACTGTTCCTCCCTGGCCAGTTGAGCTAAAGTTAAGCCTCCTAATACAGAGAGAGAGAGAGAAAGAATAGTAAGTAGTTTTTATTGTACAGCACTAGACTTAAAGGAGCAAATCTCAAGAAAGCGTTGCATACCTCTTGCATTCGTCTCACCACATGATAGCAGCCCTGAGGCCTCTTGCTTGGGAATAGGGTCGCTTTCCGCAGGCACCTTCACAACAAAAAAGCGCTTCAGCCTAGTCACGCGCACTGGTTCACCCACCAGAGACAGAAGCATCGCTGCGTGTTGCTGAGGGGATCTTCACCCATCCCACGGTTTGATGTTATGTCAAACAAAGCGGTCTTGACATCAGGCATCTACCACCCTTAGCAATGATTGCTTCTGTTGGCCCTGTTCAGGCTCTGCCTCACTTCCATATCAGACCCATCAAAGCCCCCCTTTGTGCATATCGTTCTTCAAAAAAGGCTAGCACATTCATCCAGCCTCTGCTGCAGCATCCAAAAAGGCAAATCCTGCACACCGGATATAGCATATGGCACCAAGTATATGCCTAATGATGTCTATTCTGTATATAATTGGTGTAGTCTTCTTTGGCAACCATCTCAACAAGGATCAAAAGTGTGGATATGAATTGATGTGAATGTGATGCACGACTGACTGGGAAGAGTTGAATCCTGACCTTGCTTTGTGCATCCAAATCCATTCATCAAGAATAGATGTTTGCTTTCGATCCAATGCCTCTCTGAGGCACTTTCTTGGCAGGCAGCGTCAGAAAAGCTGTTCCGTAAGATAGTTTTGGGCATCTGTGAGGCATCCTGGCGCTTCCAAGACTTGCTTCCGGGCTTAGAGAAACACCTCTAAACCAGGTACTCCAGTCTACCAGCATGCTCTCCAATCTACCACTGGGGTGTTGTGTCACATGTCTTGCAGTTCTCCGACACCTGCATGCAGCGTCCCACGTCCATATCTCTGATGCTTTGGGCCTTGGACAAACATAATTTGCCCATTCTTTTTAAAAAGGTGGGGGGTAGGCCGCTAGAGGGAGGTAGTAGCTAGAGGTAGCTAGTAGAAGCTAGGTAGCTAGTACCTTACTTAAGCTACTAGTATGGACGCAGGATAGCTCACACTTCTTCAAGGAAGCTCCCCCCCCGCCACCCAGGAAGCACCCGTGCCGCCCTAAAGGCGCTTCCTTGAAGAAGCGCTCGCACTATTCATGTGGTTCCTAGATTTATAGGGAAACTCTAACACACTTCTCCTCCCCACTTGGTGATTGTAGAATCGTAGCAAGGTCCGGTTGGTATGACTCGCACCCTGACAAGAACCAGGAATCCAGGAAAGCGGATCTTTTGATGCCTTTTTTGCATGTCGCATCGTGCTACTGAGGTGAAGAGTTGGAATCCACAATTTTGGCTAAGCTCAAGGCCTGCTGGCCAAGTGCACCGCAGCAAAGGCGCGTCCCATGTGCGGAGGCAAGCCCACAAATGCACGCAAATGAAAAGTTGCTGAACTTTGTGAAGTTTCTGCTGAAATCACTACAGAGTAACTATGATATTCAATCTGGAAGATCTGCTAACCATTCTACTGGTCGCGGATGAGCTAAGCGCTATCCCCATAGATTCAACAAACGCTGCTATTCAGCCACAACTGGCCACACCAAATGTATGTTTATGTTGATTCTCCAAAATGCGCGAGAGGACAACCGGTCACATGCTCGGCAGGTCGGCAGGTCAGGATAGACTCTTTGAACTGGTATCCGCAAGTACACCTCTCATTATCCTCTCTTGGGATATAAAATATGTCTCCTCCAGACCTCCCAAACATTTATTCAAGGAAACACAAAGAGTTCAAAGTTAGAAAAAATGAATCGAACAAAAGGGATTGAAAAGAATTAAAAACATATTCAAATTGTTTCCATTCCTTTTCTCAAACATTCAAGAAAAGTCTTTCACAGCCAGGCCTTGAAGCGTGCACCGCCTTCGACGCTGAGGACCACCTTAGAGGTGCAAGCTTCGGATCCCCAAAACGACAGACCTGCAAAGTGCTGAAAGCTTGTTGGGGTGACGTCACCCACATCACCCACATCACCCAGCCCGTCAAACGACTCGTTGTCCTTCGGACACCGAAACGAAATGGCTGGACGACTGGTACGTCACTCAGCCCTTCACAGCAGACCGGTCCATGAAGATCTGGGAGACCTGGGATCATTCCCCCACCACACTGCCTTAAACCTCTTGATAGACACCCCTATTTCCTCTATATACTGGGAGTGTACGTTTCGCGTCTATCTCCAGACAGCTTGCGAGGTCCGTCAATAAAGAGCAGAAATCTATAAATGCAGGAAGTTATCCTGCAAGCTATGGCCTCATTCTCCATGTGCTTATCCTGCGGGGATGCTGTTCTGTGCCCCAAGTGCTTCCAGAATGTGTTGAAAGGACAAGCTCTCCTGCTTGTTTTCCACGTGCAAGACATTGTACTGAGTTCCAACCTGTGCACTGTGTAACATACGAAGTGTTGTGAAAGGTCCCAACACAGCTGATTCAAAGAAATCTGGCCTTGAAGGGCACAGCCTCACTGCAAAGTGGAGTGTCCTGCTCCTTCCCTGCAACTTGCTGAACGCTTGGCTCGAAACCTGTCTTCCCCTTTCAGCGGGATGGAGTGCAATGGCCTCAGTGCTGCAAACCCTCAGTGCAATGGCAAGCAAAACGCAAGCCATTGATACAGACATGCCAACCAGTTTAGACCTTTGACGTGCTTCGATACCATCTGCGATACACCCTTGCGTTGAAAGGCTTTCGAAGATTCGAACATTCAATTTCAATGATTCTTTCGTGGCAATGAACGGCTTTCGTTTGTGGTGCGTGTCTTTCTCATTGGATGCCAGGAATCCGGACACCCATTCCATCAGCCTTCCGTTGATCGATGAGGGCTTGAGCCTCCCAGTCCGCTGAACGAGCTGATACATCGCACAGTTGGAAACTAGAGGTGGTACCCAAACAGGCTTGTCCACCTTCCACATTATATAACCCTTGGTGAAGCGGAAATAGAATACGTAGGTGCAAGGGCGCAAGGACAAGCCTATGGGTCTCCCCTAGCGAGAGCTCATTGTCATAGCACTGCATCACCAATCCAGTCCGTCACCTGCTCGAAGACTTTCTTTGACACTTCGAAGGAGCTGCGTAGAAGTGGAAAAATCACCTCAATGGAAGTGGGTATGGGACGTACCGTTTCTGTGATACCGTTCGGGCTTAGAGACTGTATTTCCCCAACAAATACTTGGTTAAGTACCCCTTTGTCACTTTGGCAATTGTGGGGGACTTTGCAGCTATCTGAAGAAATCTCACTCCCCAGCATTCCTGAAAAAGCGGCTGAAATGATAAGGAGGCTGCTTGGTTGCGCAGCGTAACGATGGCCAACTTGGCACGGGACCCCTGGCGTGGAAGGTCAAGTGTATGTGTGTATAATATATATATATATATATGATATGTATATACACTGTAGCCTTTACAAGATCACAATTTGATAGTTGGACCATGAAATTGATCGTGCTTGTGAATCAATAGAATAGAAAAGGAAGGATCACAAGTAGCTTTGGAATTGATGGAACACGTGAATGACCGTGCCATGACTGTTGACTCTGAGAAATCCTGCCCGTGAGACTGTGATGTGCTCGATGTTACTCACGTGTAAGAATCGGACAAGCGAATGTGATGCATCCTTTGTCGACATAGGACCGCCTGGGAACCTAAGGCACAGATCCATTGAGCACTCAAAACAAGTCCTCAAAAGTACTCTAAACATGCTGTCACAGTTGCACTAGGCGCAGGCCGCACAGTAACTACAATAGATTTGCGAAAAACATGTTGTGAAATTGGGTTCCGGTCAAGCCCCTGCAGGATTTAGGGGGGGCTGTAATGGCACGAGCAAAGATGCCAGGTGTCCTGTCACGC